TGGAGGAATAATTTCAAAGCCATCTAAAAATGCTTGATTAGACTTTATGCCCTATAGAAGGAAGAAGCATGCAAGAGGTAAGATGCAGTTAGTTCTTTAAAGTTTATTCATAACTGAAAAAAATTAACAAAATTATTTCAGATAATGAGACAAAAACATCATTCTCTTCACTAGATTTTACCAGAAGACTGTACATATTAGTGTCTGGGTTAAAGAAATATGTCAACAGTTATTTTTACCCCTCGCCTTTTCTGTTGTTTCAAGTAGGGAAAGTTTAATGCTATTACCTCTTCAACTATATCTTGAATAAATTCAAAATTATTTGGCAGATCTATGCCACTAAACTTGTTGCTCTGAAATATTCAAAAAGAATTTGTTTGCCTCTTATGGATAGTTGCTTTTGATTTTTAAAGACTCTCTAATCCACAAAAATGTCTTAGTTCAGTAGCTCTGAAAGGAAATAGAGGGCTTTTTTACTGTCATTAATGCTAGCTTATAACTAAAAGGTATTAGCCAGACTGTTCACAGGAAAGCTTTCTCTGAAAAACTGGTTAATGCTCTCCATCACCTTGTAGAATGATACAATTTAACCTTATTTTGACACCCAGATGAAGAAAATGAAGTCTCTTCTTAATAGTCTATGAATAAGTTAATACCCCTAGGACACAATAATCCCTGCATCAAGGAAAAAAGAGGGATCAAAACTTTGTTAAAATTCAGAAGATATTAGTGAATGTGCATTACATGAAAATTTCAGCAAAAAATAATAATTGAAGTAAATTTTCTGAGTGTACAATAGTAAGTAATCTTCAGCAGCTTTTTCTAGGTATTGAAGGCAGGTTTCAGAGGAGTGATGCACGATACATGAAACATTGATGTGTCAGCTGTTTTAAAGACAATACTGATAACAATTTCATTGTTCTTTTAACTAGTCACGGTATTTCTATTATGTGTTTTCACTCAAATTTAAATGTAAAAAGAGAGGAAATTAAGTTGATAGTAAGGAAGCAATGGCACAGATGTAAGCACATCTGTACTAATTTTTATAACATCCGTAAAATTAAATACTCTGTTCCAGTAAGATAACTCACATTTTGCTCTTTAGATAAGAACATACTTAACCTTTTAACTACAAAAGTTTGATTCATCTGAAGCTTTTTTTAATTTTTTAAAACTTTGAAGTCATAATGAGACATAAAATGGATTGTAAGTCACAAGTTGATTCAGATCATGTTATCTTTCACATCATAAGGAGAACAGAAATGAAGTTTCTATGTAGAATAAAAACAAATGCATATAAATGTCAGAATTCATTGAAAAGAGAGCAAGCTAAGACAAAAGTGGTAGGTATATATATTCTATTTTGTGGTACTCCTTGAATGCCACACTGAAGATTTAACTGAAAAAAAATCCAGCTGAGATTAACAACTGTCTCATATGACCTAATAGTAAAATGATGTTTTGAAAATTGAAATTATTTACTTGTCTCAAAGTATCTTACAACAACACAAACAAACAAACTGATGATCCTGTCTATCATCAAGTAAAATATTTTTCTTTTTTCTACTACTTCTTAACTCTTTTTTTAGGTGGGGAAATGTATAGCCACAGAACAGCTTTGCTTTAACTGAGGCTGGTTTATTTCCATGTTTCAGGCACATCTAGATCCCATGTTCTAAAGCAAATTTTCATTTTGTTACTAATACATGAACAACAGATGCTGTTACAAGTGTTCCTAGGCATTAAAGTTGTTTTTTTTTTTTTATCACAGCTTGATTTATTGAGCTACAGGATGGAAATAGAATGCTAAAATTCTAAGATGTGTGATCACTTCCTTTGTTCCATTATTCATAAAATCTTTCTTTTTCATGTGATGTTTCAACAGTTCTTAATTTGGCTTTGCATTTTAGAAAGCATATAAACCAGTGGTGCATAACAAGAAGAAGATAATGGGCTAATGTTCATGGCTAGCAAACAGTATCAATGATCTGTGATAAATTAAATTTTAAAATATGTTTATAAAGGAGGAAGAGTATTCTGTTGAATTTGTTTATGACTGGAGGGGGGTTAAGGGAAATACAACTTTTAAATTCAGCTATGGATTTTGATTACTCTTTTTAATTTATAGCATAAAATTTTAGTCCTGAGATGAAAAAGCAGTTTTTTCTGGAAAGCAGATGAAGAGCTTGTGGAATTAATGGAACATAAATGTACTGTTTTCTCCAGACTACTAATCAACTTACTTTCACATTAAACTTAAATGTCATTCTAAGACATGTTGAATTTTATTCCAGAGAAGTTTTTTTTTTACAGTCAGCCAATCTATAGAGTGACACGGGACAAAATACAGGTAAGTGATCAGGTTATTTCAGACGAAGTACTCCATTCGTGCAGATTTAAACTAGTTTCTGTGTTTACTGGACAGATATCTTAGAAGAACTCTTGATGGAGTGCATGTATCTCTCAGTCAGTCTGCTCAGTTTTTGTGCTGAATTCTGGCACAGCCTGCTTGCCTGGATGTGATTTCTCAAATGCATACCATGAAGTAAAATCTCTGAAAATGGTGCCTGGGTAAGAGCTTAGACATGCATGGCATCTGTAAATCGATAGCCCTGGTGGCCAAACCTGTATGTATGCTAATAGAAGTACTGACACCCTGATCCAACCAAAATCTTCTTGTGCCTTTTACTTCCAGCAGTTTGAGTTTTAATTCATGCCCTCATAGTTCACACCTTAAATACTTCCATAACTCTCTCAAATTCTGTCCCTATGCCCCTTTACAGCTCAATTAACTGTACATTGTTACACCTACAAAATTTAAAATCTCTATGAATTCATAAGCACCTCAAATTTAAAGATGTAATTTTAGGTAAATAAAGGAAGTAGATTGCAAACTGAATGGTAGATTGCCACTGCATTGCTCTTCTATCCTCCATCCAATTTAACTTCTCTAAGCTATTCCTGATTTTACATTCTTACCATGCTGTTTCTTATACATCTCTGTCCCTGGAATAAAAAATATAAACATTACCTCACCCACTGCTCATCATATTCATAGTGAGTCTTTCAGAGTAATTTGAGAGACCTCTGAGATGGGATACCCTCAATGACTTCTCATATAAATGACACAGTTACAGACTTAATGTCCTTGTTAAGTATTTTGTTTTTACTTTTGAATTTAAATTGCTCATTGATCAACCTATAGTGAGTTTTCCACTTTAGTAACCAGATCACTTTCCAGAGTGGGTGCATTTAATTTTGAAATATGTAGCAGTTGTGTAGTTACAGGGTGTCATCCCCTCTTACAACTGCTTTGCCTTCATAAATGCTTAATTTCTTTCAGTTATCATAGTACACACTGGCTTATATATATTGGCTTCCTTATATTTTCTTTCTGGTGTAATAACTGTCTTTACTGTCACCTGAAAATTTTGATCTCTCACTGTTTGTCCTGTGTCCCTGATTACTGAACTAAATATAAATCAAAACTTTGTTAAACTGCTATCATGGTATAAATTACTGTTAGTCATAGTCTAATAGCTAAAAAGTTCCATAGCTACAAAGTCATAGTCTAATATTTTTACACATGACAGAAATTTGAAATGCATCCCATCTTGTTCCTAATCTCCAGGGTTTACTTTCAAATTTTGGCAGTCTTTCAAAAATACATAGCATTTTGAATGTTGTTTGAATACTTTGTGGGACTTTGTGGGAGAAGAATCATATAATATTAATGCTTTAAAATTATACAAAAAAATCTATTTCATACACTTGCAGAGGTGAAGAAAGAGGGAACCAGTTAAAAGACAACTGACTTTATCAAACCTGATATGTGAAAATACAGATAAGTACTAACAAGTCAAATGCATCTTAGTAAGAATTAACCAAACAACGGGTTCAAAGAAGCAAAACAGTGAACATTACTTCATTCTTCCTGACTGAAAGTTCTACAGGAATCCAGAGTACACTATTACATAGCATATTATGTATGTTAATATGTTAATAACATAACACTAGTGAAAAGTTTTGTTATATTTTAAAGAAAGGATTTTTATTGTGATAAAACAGACCATTGACCAGTCTCTCAACCACTGAGCAATTACATCAAGTATTGTCAGGGTATCCAGGTCTCTCCAATGCTCTGATAAGTCAGCAAATAGGAACTATAATATGAAGCAAAAAAACCCGAAACCAAACAGAAAACATGGAAAAAAACCCAACCCAACCCCAAAATATTCACTGTGAAATTCAGGATAAATCAGACCTACTTAGAGAAATGTACTGTAGACATGCTGAATCTGTCAGGGTTTTTCCAATAAACCAAATCAAAATTCTACAAATGGATGGATGAAAGCTACTTGAATATTGCATCATGATGCTAACTTTCATGTTGACATCTAAGCAAGAAATCTGACTGCAGATCTTATACACAGAAAAGTCTATTATCATGGTTTAAATAAAAACAAATCTTTGCCTTATAGCATTTCTGACTTTTGGCTATCCTTTCATCTTATGTTTACTACGTATAGGAACAACAAATACAAAAAAAATCAATGAAAGGACATTAATTTCAGAGCTCATATCTTCAATGAATATATTCCTGTTTCGATACTCCTGTGGAACTGCCAGAAGTAATTGCCACAAAAGTTGCAGTTATCCTCTCACTATAATGTGATATTGAAGGACCATGCAAATGTGCATCTCTTTGGGATAATGGGATTCATGTATGTCATATTTTGCAAAGTAAATGATATAAGAAAAAGATAGAAGTAAAAAAGTCCCAAACGATTAATTCTGAATGAAGACAGCAATGGTTACATATCTAAGATTTAAGTGTATGAATTTTAGATCAGACTGTGTCAAGCTTACAAGTTATTTCAGGTTTAAAAGCCATTGTAATGTTCACTTTGCATATATTTGTATTAATTTAAAAATAAAATTATATTCTAGCATGTTTTCAGCTTGCTTTAATCCTCCTTGGTTTTGCTTATCAACAACTATCATCTTTGATCATTCCACTATGTGATGTTTGCTGTCAGGTCTGCTGTTTGTTTCCAAAGGAAGAACATGAAGGCTCACAGAATGAGCAGAAGCTTAATGTCATCAACTACATGTGACATATAAAAAGCCAAAAGGTGAGAAATAATACTGTGGGGAATTTTCAATGTAGCCAAACCTGAAGACCTCGCCAGGGCATTCTGAGCTCAGTATTGGATTTGACTGATAAATTCTGATCTTGTTAGAAGATGATGTTGGTATGCACAGACATGTCTTCTCTCATTTTTGTTTAATACTTTTTAAAAATAATGACATGATACTAATAAAATATTAATAAAACTTCTGATTAAACAATAATTCTTAGTTTTCAGTAGAAAAGAAAAACGAACGCCACCCTGGCATTTAAATACAGTTTGTGTGAAAGATAAGCTACCAGCCTGCAAAAAGCTGTCTTTAGATTTACTTAAAGGGCCAAAGTACAGTATCTTAAATTCAAGTTAATTAATTTAATAAAGATCACAGAGAAGTTTCAGTCAGAAGTGAATTCAAGCAGGTTTTGTTCTAAAGAGTGAACTTCTTACAGTTCTCAGCACAGTTTGAGTTAGTTTGCTGATAATCTGGTAATATCCGTGCCAGATCTGATGGCATATGATGAAGATTCTGTTCAACACTGAGTGCTCATAAATGATTAAAGAAAGACAAAGAACTTCCCTGTGCTTGGTAAACAAGAAGATAAAATTAGGTTGTGACTAAAGTTATATTAAAAGTTCTCTAATATGACATTAATCAAAATGTGGGTGTCAGCAAAAGTAGGAAGCAGTCTTTATCATCATGTTAGCTAAGTGGCAGGCAAACCTGCCTGGAAATGTAATCCAACCACACAGGAAATCTCTTCCTTATGCTTGAAAACATGAAGATTTTATCTCCTCTTCCTGAGGGGATTTATCTTATCTAAGGGTATACCCTCAGTAATACAAAGAATTAATCCTTTAATGCTACAGACTTTGCATTAGTCATAGTTTGTAGCAATAAATGCCAGAAAATAATTAGTATTGTGTTAAGAAATTAAATATTTAGCTTGTTTTAATTAATTGGTTTCTATTTCATTAGTACCCTTGGAAATGTATTGTGCAACAGTTAGTTAACAAGAATCCCAATGTGTAAGCTACTCTTTATATAACAGCTCTCATTTTCAAAGAGCACTACTTGTACTGGCATTCATTAGACTTTAAAAACATGGAATTAGAGTCCATATAAATACTTAAACATTTCATTAAGCATGCATAATTCTTATTGACTCTAGGCTGTTTTACTATAGGAACCTTTTATCACATGACAAGGGGTAAGTGTTTTTTTTTCCTATCTGAGAAGTATATTTAATGTCCAAGTAGAGAATAGCTGGAGAGTAACTGTGGTTCAACATTTTGAAATAGTTCATTCACAAGATCTGCAGTTGAAGTACTATGCTCAAAACAGAATGTAAGAAAGCTGATTGTCTTTTAGGTATTGAGAATTCATCTCCTTCTCAGTATTTCAGTATCTACTCTGTATGAATCTGAATCTGAGAGAGCTGCTTCAGTTTTTCAGTCAATAAAATGAAATAAGTAATTTTAGGCCATGGATCTTATAAACTCTTTCAAACATTTTCTTTAGATTAAGATCAATTGTGCACTCTGAGCATCTCTTTCTTTTCACAGATTATAAACTTTAGCTGCATAGTTCAGAAGTGAACATTTGATCCAATTTGATCTCAGCTTAGAGCTACAAGTTAAAGCTGCATGTGTGTGCATAGCTGAAACCACAACAGGTATGAAAGTTATTTTTATTGCAATCTCATCTGTACAAACATCTCACAAAATTACATCACAGAGTTATAGGCTCATTTCCAGTGAATATCCATGTTCACAATATCTGCCAATTACACAATAAGTTAATTAAATTTCTGAACAGCCCGTAGTAGTAGGTTGACACTGGCCCAATACCAGGCACCCGCCAAAGCCCTTCACACACTCATCTTTTTGCAGCTGGACAGAGGAGAGAAAATGAACAGAGGGTTCATAGGCTGAGATAAGGACCAGGAGAAATTTCTCATCAAATACCATCACAGGCAAAACCATCTCAACTTAGAGCACTGCACTGAATTTTTGACACTAACAAAATCAGAGCAGGATAAAAAATAAGTAAAATAAGCCCTCAACACCTTCTCCTCACCCCTCCCTCCTTCCTAGTCCTACCTCACTTAGTCCTTGCACCCCAGCAGTGCAAGGAGACAAGGAATGGGGGTTATGATCAGTTCATCACCCGAGGTTTTCTTCTGCTGCTCAGGGAGAGGAGTCCTCCCCCTGCTGCACTGTGGGGTCCCTCCCACAGGACACAGTTCTCCATGAACATATCTGATGTGGCTCCATCTCATGAGCAGCAGATCCCTGCAAACTGCTACAATGTGAGTCCCTCCCATGGGGTCCCCTTTTTGTTTTGATTTCTTCTGAAATACCTTAGCACAGAGACATTGCCACCATTCCTAATTGGCCCAGCATCGGCCAGGTCCACAGGCACCTTTGGAGCCATCAGGGATTGATTCTGCAGGACATGGAAGAAGCTTCTAGTAGCTTCTCACAGAAGACCCCCCTGTAGCTCCCCTCACCACTACCAAAACTTCCAGGCCAGGCAAAACCAATGCACCTCTATTCATCATTTATTCATTGCTTATTTTTAATCAGAGACAACAGTTATAATATTCTGACACTTAAAATTTATAAAATTAGAGCATCACTGACAGAAGTTGATGATTCTTACATGATTCATCCTGTTACAGCATGGTTTCTCAATACAGAGCTTATAACAGAAGCATATTGTATATGTCACTTCGAATCCTCATTCAGCCAGGCTTAATTGATATCCAAGAAACAGCAGGGCACCTTAAAATAGCTGTAGTAGGTGATGCCTCTGATGCCATTGTCTGATATCTACAATTTCCATAACACAGTGACTTTGCAGACATGACTTTGAAGTACTGCTTTGTGTTTAGAAATGCACAGAACAAAAGGATTGGTAGTCTGAAGGAGAACAAATTCAAATGTTTCCTTAATATCCTCATAGAATAAAATATGATAGCCTGTAGGAGCTATGAGTTGATGTGATCAACACCATGCAGTAGGAAAACAAGAAAATACAGCTAGGCTCCATATTACAATGCCCATGACAAACATTTTGACAAAACCTATCACTAATAATATTCTCTAAGCTGAAGTGGAAAAAACTAATAAGCTTATTATATCAGAAAAAGAAAGTTGTGAAGGCTGAACATCTGTATGCAATAATGAACATTCTTTAACTGGAAACTAAGCCAAAGGAAATACCAACTGTTGCACTGAAAATTGCTGAGATTCACTTTTGATTTACGAACAGCTGGAATCTCTAATTATCTTAATATAATGAGGCACTTTAATCTTCACTAAAGTATGTTTCAAAAATCTATCCAAAGATTTTTCTTCATCAGGAAAATGCAGTTAAACATAATCTGTCAACAGTGTGTACAGTCTGATTAAATTCTGTTCTTGGCTCCAGCCACTTACTTTCACCTGTTGAGGTGGCCTAAATATTCCTGCAATGCAAATTTAATTTAGAGTGCAGCTAAATATTTTTCCATTGAGTTATTGCAATTGCACACATAAAAGACAGGAAATACTTCTGAAAAACCATTTTCAACACAAACAATAGGCATTTTAAGGATACCTATGCTTCTCATTTTGAGTATGCATTCTGTAATGATATCCCCTACTAAGACTGCAGTAATTGTCTGTGTACTTACAGTTGCCATACTGGAGAGTTTTGCTTGTCAGAATTTCCTTATCAGAAGGATTTTCCTTGTCAGAAGGAAATAGACTTTTCTCAGATATTTATGGTTTTGTATAACAATAGGTCCAAACAGAACTTGGTATTTCCATTTTAGAAATAAGAAAAAACATAAATTACATTGGGGGAAAAAAAAAAAAAAGAAAGAAGAGCCAAACCCAGGATAAAATACAGAGGAAAAATGGGTTTAAATTCTAACATTCTTCATGTCAGAAAGGAGGTCATAACCTCGATTTGGAAGTCATAATCTTAAATCTTTGAATTGCTTTATGAAAAGATGAAAGAGCTTAATATTCCTCTTTGTTTATTTTCTCTAGATTTAAATATCGTTGTTACATTTGTTGAGCTAATTTTGAAGTTATCCTTACTTTAGCTGTCACTATTTAGGATTTCTTTTAGAAACAATGCTGTTATAAAGCAGAAGTGGCTAAACCACCTTTGGAAGATGTTTTATAAAACTGAAGAGTCAGTTGGGGGATATATGAGTCAATCCTATCTTCATTTTTGCTAATTCCTTCAGAAAATTTTTAAGACCCAGGAGGTTGGGACATCTTAAAAAAAGCATTCTCAAACAGACTTCAGATTCAGATGCTGACTAGTTAATATAGATTTTTATTTAACAGGTTTATACTGATGTCAGGCTGATAGATCTGTATTTTACTATATCTTTTTGTAGAACTTTTTTTTTTTTAAAGTCAGTGATACATTTTCTACACTAGCTTGGTCACGAGGAAACAGATAAACTCCTGTTTAAAAATTCTATTAGTAATTTATCTGCTCTACCCCTAAGTCCTGTTAGAAAGTAAATTCCATTCTAGTCCTGCTGACTTGTGAGTGTTCATGCTATCAACTTGTTCCATATCCCCCTCAATTTCAGACTTATCCTCTGCTGAGCCATCTGCTATAATGAGTTCTAGCATGGGAATTGCTGCCATTCTTTCGTAGTGTAACCTCTTGAACAATTTTAGCTTTTCTGTACAGGTCTTGCCTTCTCTAAGCACTCTTTAACAACCTGATCTGCAACTAAATGAGCAGACTTGCTAAATGTTTTTTTATTTTCCTGTCTGAAGAAGGTATTGCTGTATATGTTGATTCCTATGTCAATTGCTTTTCAAAGTCTTCTGGATTACTTTAATTTTAATTTTTTTTTGCCAAGTTTTCTCATATTTTCTACTTTTTTTTCTGAAAAAGTGCTCTTCAGCATTTTAGAGATAGGAGACATTTTCTTATGTGTAATGATTTTTCTTATCTTTTGGCTAAAACACCTTTTTTTTTGTATTCATTAGTGCTGCACTTTTTGGAAGGTATCATTCAATAATGGCCACAAAACATAAAAAGATTTAATTCCTTTAGCTTTTCTCTCTTCAGTTTCTTTCTTAAAAATGTCTTTATTTTTACTATTTTTCAGTGGACCTACTGTAAGTCCTGTGAGGCTTGCTAAATATGATGACAATCATTGTTAAACAGTTATTCCTCATCAAAAAAATCTTTACCCAGACCCTGGACACTGCTTGGCACCAAATCACAGATCACACCTCATCTTGCAGGCTCCCTGTAAGCTGTTCTATGAAACAAATAATCAGCAAATTCAAAACTTTTTCCACTGTATCACATCCTGGTGTAATGTTTGCCGCTTGTACATGGCAGAGGAAGAGGGAAGGGGAGAAAATGGAGTCTCCCACCATGCTTGAATTTCTCTTTCTACCTCTTTATGTGTCTTGGCATATGGTGACAAACGACTGAAGACTTACTACATGCAGAATCTGCATTACTTGCTAAGATGGTTATTTTATTTGATTTGATTCTAGCTCTCTTAACTTACACTACTAATTTGTGGCAAAAATGTCTTACTGTTATTTTTTTTTATTACTTCAGTGTAAAAATGAAAGACTATGGTCCTTCCAGAAGTCTGCTCTTGAATAGTATGTCAGAGACATCATGTATGGCTAGACATTTAAGTCTCTTCATCTTGTTTCTTTGTCACATTTCTCTCTGAAAATTAGGTAACACACAAAGTAAATGTCATACAGAGAGTTAACCAGATTATTTTCATATATTGAACATGACAAAGGGTTCTGTCTAGGACATGTTACATAATGTTAATGATGAAGTTGTGGTTTTAAGTGTCAAAAAGGACAATTCAAGTTAGCTTTTGAGCTGTAATATCTGGGAAAAAACCAAGCCATGAAAACTGTCAGTGGAGATTTTATTATTAATGTCTTTTTCTCTTTTGTGATTCCTTTACTTATTACTTTAGGGTTGTTTTTGTGGATGACAGTCATCAACTGTTACTTTCACAAATCACAGTCTGACATGGTCTTTTTCTTTGCATTTCCTACATCCCTCCAATACATTTTCCAGACAACTGAACATAAGGCTTCCAGATAGGCATTGGCTGAAATTCTTTGGAAGTAGACTTAATTTTGAGTTCTTTTCTTCAATCTTTTAAACAGAAGTTACAGCTATATTAAAAACATTGGTGTTCTAAACTTTTAGAGAACAATATAATATACTTTCCTCTTGGACAGAAAAAGCCTTTTCTGACCTGTAAAGTGAAAGGATATTGGTTTCAAGAAATGCCAAAGCTTTTTCAGAATTATCAGTACTTTTAGGGAAAGATGCAGGTCATGGCATAACTGGGCAATAAGGTGATTATATAGTTCAGCTATTAAATTATAATTATGTGAGTGTAAGAGTGACAAAAAGGTAGCATTAGTTTCTATTTTTAGCTCTAATGATATACTTCTAAAGTTTATACTCTTTTTTGAATTTTTGTTCTAGATAGAGTGAAATTTATATTTCAGAAAATGGTACTTTTATCAATCAAAGCACTGAAGAGGAAAAAAAATTATAAATTTTCAGATTGAAATTACAGATACTCAAATATTTCTCCTTTGAATACATATTTTTGAGGGAGTCATTAGACCACTGTACTTTCCTGTGACATACATCAATACTAAATGCAGAGTGACACTTCACAGCAGTAGTAAAACAGGGCTAATTACCATGACAGCCATTTGCTTGTTCTTATTGAATGGTGTTGACTCCATTTGGTGATGCTTCATGGTGAAATATAAGCCAGAAGAGCAGGAGAAGAGTTGTGTTTTATTCCTCCATCTATTTAGAGACCTGAATTACTTACACATCAAAGACACACTTTTCATCATTCCCACTGAGATCTGAACTGACCACACTGTAGTTTCTCAAAATTTCAGCTTATAGAAGGTTTATTCCAAGTATCTGGTAATTTTAATTTTCACAAAATTATGTATCTGAACAGGTATATAATATATAATTAAGTTTGCCCAAGTTATTGGAAGTTTGCCCAAGTTATTAGAAGTTTACTGCATAAAGGAACCTCCCGTTAGGAACTTGACTATTTGGAATGTGGACAAAATGAAATCAGTATATTCTAATTAAAATTCAATTTCAGCAAACGAAACCACCTCTGTATCTATTTCTACAGTTGTTTTCTGAGAACCTTCATCAACAGACATCTTCAAAAACATGGCCTAAAAACTTTCCTTTGCATTTTGTTTCTGGTATTTTCCAGAAAACTGTTCTGGAATTCATCTTAACATAATTTTCCTACTATATATATAACACTACAGCTGCTTAAATATGGCCTTAAATTGCTATCAGCCTAGAAAACCTTTTTCATATATAAGTTTTGGAGATTATACTTCCATTGTGAAAATTTGAACTGTTTCATATACAGCTCACTCCCCAAGAAGACTACACAAAAAGGAACTATACATGCATACATGTACAATGAATAAATTAATGGATGTTTTGCTTCAGCATACAGTATAATGAGCACACCAGTCCCCTTATTTTCCTACACTTCCACCTGAAAGCATTAAACACCTGTGATACTCTCGGTGTGTGGACAAATGTCACAACACAGAACCCAGTTATTCTATTAGATTTTCTCAGCAATTTCAAATTGTTCATCTGGAAAACTTTCTTTCATAAAGGCAATACTTTTTTATCATTGATTTGATAGAAATTTTGCTTCTACTACTATTTATTAGAGATTCAAACCCCAGACATTAGAAAGAAGATGTGATGATTAATTAACAGCTTGAACTCTCAGTTTAGGCTGAATCCTCAGGATTACAGCAGACTCTAATTTATACCAGGCAGGCTCACAAGCTTAAGATACAAAAATTTCATGATGCTGATTTCCATTGCAGTGGAAATTCTTTACCATTCTAATTAGCAGGTAATACCCTATGGATTAATTTCTCTTCCCATGTATTTCTTTCTTTTCTTCTTTTCCTAGTATTCTTTCTTGTCTCATTGTGCAGGAATATTTACTAAGTACCTATTCATCACTGCCTATTCTGCTACATTCTCCACAAGTATCAACAAACAAATAAGGAGACAGATGTCAGAGTGCAATGAAAAACAGCAGAAGATAAATAACCAGTGATTATTAGAGGTATCATGAGCATACACATGCATGTTCTGGCTTTGGGTGGGGTAAACTATCTTCACAGTGGCTGGTATGGGGCTGTGTTTTCTGCCGAACACAGCGTTGGTAATACAGAGGTGTTTTTGTTATTGATGGGTAGGGCTTGCACAGAGCCAAGGCCTTTCCTGCTTTTCACACTGCCATGCTGGGGAGGAATTTTGTACATAAAGGGGTGGGGAGAAGTAGGAGGAATGGAGGAATATTTGGAGTCATGGTGTTTGTCTTCCCAAATTACAGTTACATGTGATGGGGCCCTGCTCTCCTGGAGGTGGCCAAACACCTGTCTGCCCTTGGGAATCAGTGAATTAATTCCTTGTTTTGCCTTGCTTGTGTGCACAACTTTTTCTTTTCCTCTTAAACTGTCTTTATCTCAACCCTTGAGCTCTCCAGCTTTACCCTTTTGATTTCTTTTTCATCCTCCTGGTGGGGAGTGAGTGGCTCCTTGGCTGCTGGGTGCAGTTAAACCACAACAATGCCATTACACCCCAAACATCCCAAGAAAACAGTAGATTTCAATTTAATCCTTCCTACTGTGATTACCTACAGTAAAGTATAATTCTGCATGGTTCAAACCACTGTGCTGTTAGATGCACCTGTGTTTGAAACTGCATAGTTCTTGCCTGAGATCTGGTTATCCTACTTCAAAATGATACATCTTTATGTCAGAGTATACGGGAGAATTCTTCCAGTTCCAAACAGAAATAGGGAAGAGTATAATGGTAAACAAAATCAATGACTTAGAGAAAGTAAAATACTCAGCACACATAATGTCTTGTCCCTCTTCATCTGAAGAAATAAGATACCTTGCAGGAAAATGTATCCTGAGAACTGGAACCGAATTTTAAACAAACTGCTGTGTGTTAAAAATGTAACACTTATCACCAAGGTGAGCAGGAAAGAAGCCACTTTATATGTAAATTTCTGTGCTACTCATGAAATCAAAAGTCTGGTATACACTCAGCAACCTAATTGTGCAGTGCACAGGCAGACACACAGACAGACATGACTACATCAGAATGGTCTGTTTTAATGGCATATATACAAAGGTAGAAGCTCATAAAAGAAAGTAGAAAGCTACCTGGAGCTGCTAGGTGATGTCTTTTCTTGACAGGCTAATATGCAATGCTCTTAGTAGAAACTGAGGAATATTTGGGAAAAAAAAAATAAATAAAATCTTCAGTTTCCTTTCTGCAGAGTAAATCTCAAGGAAAATACTGCATTTTGGCAGCACCCAAAACTTATATATCCCGTCAGGAAATACAAGTACAGATACATGCTTTTTACTTATTTTTGTTTTGTTGAGATAAATTATTTGATTTTTAAAAATTTTAATTATTGTATTATCACTCTGTTGTAGTTAAGATTATGTCAGCATTTCAGTTGTGAAAATAGACTTCAACTTGCCTAAAACATTACTCAGAACTTCAATGTCCTATAAAAAAACTCAGTCTGGATAAGAACACTTATCCAGATGATTTATGATTTTATGTTTTATGTTTATGATTATTTTATTATTAAGACTTCTCTTACATTTAATATACGGTTTAAAAAAAATGTGTTGTTTTTTTTTTAAATCTAAAGGAGAAATATATATATTACTTATAACTTAACAGAAAAGTTTCTGGTTTATATATTTTCTTGACAAACTTCAGTTACACTGTATTCAAAAAAGCCTCACTTTTTTCCAAAAGAATAAATTTTTCAATATAGACCAGTCTTTTCCTCTAAAGGAAGTCATCAAGAGTAACTTCAAAGTGACATATGTGGAATGAAAACATATGATTTGCTTAATTTCTGGTAAAAATATCACCTAAGTGAATCAGAAGGAAAAATAATGCTTGTAGATTTTATTTTTCCACCTTCATTCTGATTAACTCCATTCAAAAAAATTTCCAATGGTACAACACTGAAGGCAGAATCAAGCCCAAGTCATTAACAAAACCTGCACCCTGTCCCATTAAAAGAAAAGAACCACCAACCCCCCAGCTGCATAATGTAATACCCACATCACTGCTGTTTCTTTGACAAGTGGCTGTCCTCAAAGGAACTCTTCATCCTTAGAAATGTAACTTTTAAACATTGCATCATCTTCATTCTCCCATTCTATTTCATGAGGAAATCTAATATTCATTTTCCAACACTTAACAACGAGGAACAATTGCTGTCAATTGCAATTTGTAATATGCATAGCCCTGTGTCAATAATGCTGGCTACAACACTCAGCTTACTGGCAAAGAATTCTATTCAATTAAAATAACATGATACCAAACTCTGAGTAGTCTTTCAGAAGCCATGCTTAAAGAATACACTTCACAATCCAGGGTGTGCAATTTATAAGCCCCAAACATGTACAGTCTCTAAGACCTAAACAATTTTTTTCATTTATCCTGAGATGCCAAATTATTCTGGAGGACAACAGTAAGTTACATGGCTCAAATAATGACAGGAAAACTGCTCTGACAGCAGGATAGGGCTGATTTAATAGGGAAGTCAAATATGGGAACTATAAAATTAAGGAAAAAAATGGCAAAAATTTTCATAGTAATTATGAAATCAAGACATAAAAAAAATCTTTAAGATTAATTTCTTTAGGAAATAAAGCCATACACTACGGAGATTTGAAAAAATGAACTTTATTATAAGAGCAGTATTTCCAGGAAGCAGTTTAAAAGTGGATTACTAACCAAAAATAACTATCATAAAAATATGTCAAAGAAAAGCAGGCACCACAGTGGAGTAATCCAGCCAGGGCACTGCTGTACAGAAATCAGTTATTTAGTATTCTGCCAATTTGACGAAACATGTGTCTAAACAAACTTGCAGTAGCAAAAATCCAGTTGAAGAAATCATATTTCAAAGTGCACATACTCTCTCAGAAGTAAAAATGTTAGAACAGTTAGGATGCAAAAATACACTTTTTAGAGATTATAGAACTTCACTGAAGTGTAGCTATCACAGACCAAGAGTCAGTTATATAAACCTTTTAGACTTGGGTGAAGCTGGAAATGTGCCTGGTCTATTGAATTTCAGGATGCAGCCATTTATAAACTTAGGCTTCACAAAAAATGGGTTAGGATTTTGGCTGGGGTTTCTTTTGCAGGTGTGAACTTTTGAGATAAATTACTCTAAATCCAAACTTACTTCCAAAGGCAAGAACACCTGTTATTGTTTAACTTCCCTACAGTTCAGGTCCTGATCACCATTTTCAGGCTGGTTTGTTTGTTTCCTTGCTTATATTTAACAGTTACAAACAAAGATGACGATGACAGATTTCTCCTGTGATTTTAAAAGTATTATATACCTAAACCAGAGAATTTAATTGAAACTGCATTTGGAAACAATTCATAAGTTAAGAAAGTTTAAATCTGTATCACATATGCTCTTTAAAAACCACTAATTTTTAGAAAAAAAGTGGTTTTTATCAAAAAAAGCAGACAGAAATTTTGCTACTTAAATCCACTTCTCAAACAGGCAGATGAAATATTGACTATCAACTATCATATACACAAAAATAGATTACTCAGTATGAAATTGGTGTTTGAAACTGGTGATACAGATGTTTGTCCAAGATTCTGTATTCTGGCTAGTTTAGCTGGCTGGTGTCATTGATGTAGTGTTCCATGGAGCATTTACTGGTTTACAGGCATTAACTGAGGGGGTCAATATTTAATTTTCTTTCAGTAAGACACAGGAAGACAAAGGTCAATGTTCTTCTCATGAGACATGATAGCTAGATATTCATTTGAGTAGATTGCTATACTTACATATATTATTGAAATAGACGTATGTTGTCACATTCCTGCATTGTTACATACATAAAAATGAAAAGGTTAACATCCTTTACAAACTGTATTTCTGGAATTGCTTTCCTTTGAAAGTAGCATTTAACAATGATATAAAATCCAGGGTAAAAAAAAAATCCCTTCCTCTAAAAACTTCTATTTGGAGTAGTATTGGAATACTGATGCAAGCAGTTCTATGTCTACATCTGACTGAATATCACAGGTAAATAATTGTTTAGGTAATCTTTAAGAGTGGTGTGCTCCAGCCAAGCTGAAACATGTAATTGCCATTCAATTTTTTTAGTCTTTCGGCAGTTGTATTTAAAAATTTGCATTTAAAATGAGGTTTTTTGTGGTTTTATCTTTTTTCCCTCTCTCTTCACAGAATCTCTTCTCACATTTTCCTTCTGGAATGTCCATATTTTGGCTCCGCGTCTTTTGCAGCATCTAGACAGTGTTGTAAAAAAGGCTTTCCCTTCTAGGCCAACCAGTAATCATTTCCCAGTTCCATCTTCTGTGAATAAAAACCCCAGAGCCATTGTACAGAAGGGCACTGATTTCTGTTATGATGACTGTCACAGAATTCATATATTCCATGGTTCCCGAAGAGCAGGACAACTGAAGATCACTGGATTATGGAAAAATGCTGAATGTCACAACTGATGTTTATATGGTCCTTTTAGTTTTTCAGCAAGTCATACTGCTCAAACCTTAGTAATGATTGTATAGCCAACTACTGGCTCAAAAACAGTCAGATACTTAAACAGGATGTTATTTTCCTTACACAGTTTTCCACAGGAAAACAAAAATATATGGGGTTAGTCACGTTGCACAGGATGATTTCAAGAAGAGGATGTAATGGATCTTCAAAAATTCAGGTTTGCTAGCAGGCTATCTGCAAATTAAGCCAGCATCGTCAGATGCCATACAGAAGGTCTGCTATTTCCCACAGAAAATCATGTGGAGTAGAGTTGAGAAAGCCATTAACTTGGTAGATTATAGAGATTTCTGCATTTTCAAATATATTTCTTAGTGCAAAAAAGTAATTTGCCTTATAAAATAAGGATTAAAACCTCTATCAATGCAAACAGCATTTTCTCCATAACTTATTGTTGATGAGCACGGAAAGATTTCTGGGGGGGTGGGAAATCACTCAATAAAGCTTAAACATTATCTAG